TGTGGAATTCAGCAGGCACCTGTCAATCAAAGGTGCAAACAATATGACCTGACTAAGGGGGCATTTGCTAAGGGAGAGAAGGCATTGTTGAGTCAAGGGGGCATTCAACAACTGATTGAGTGGAGTCAGAGATATGTCAGAGTGGGAGGTTGCCCACAGAAAATACTTGGATACCATTTTGTGCAAAAGTACATTGAATGTCGACTATCTTCAAGTGGTCTCAACAAAGCCTGTCCTTTTACAATCAACACACAAACTCAAGAATTGCAGAACATTGGAACTTTTGTTTACAAATTTGCTGGCAATTATAACTCTGTGGTCAACACTAGGCACATGTCTATATAGGGGATTTGGGGGTCAAACTCTGAATGAGTGAATGGACTTGTGGCTCCTGACCCTGCTGTCCTGTCAGAGTTATAATTACAACTTGTCACTGGTTGACAGTAGGTTTTCAGGAATGACTGCCTGCAAACCAGAGTGAAAGTCACTATCATCACCATCCATTTGTAAACTCTACCCAGTGATCTAATGCAACAATATATTTCTCAATTGGTAACTCAATCTCTCTCCCAAACACACTCTGGTAAAAATCTTGCTAATATTTCATTCTTTGAAAAGTCTAATTGGACTCGAGCAAAATATCCAGTGAATCTGCCACAATGTCAGAATTTCAGTGCAGCCTCAATCCCTGGAGCTACTGGTTCAATAACCTCAGTTCCAGGTGGGATAAAACTAACTTGAGACACAGAAATTCAAACTGTTGGGACAAGCCTTTCCAACATAGGGTATTAAATGAAATTCACAAACATTCCTTGGTTATAGTTGGCCTTATGACTCACTAGTTGATGACAGTTAACATGCTACAAGTACTTCAGTGCTGGTAGGGAACAGTCATATTGTCTTGCTCTTCCACCACCTCCTTCCTCCTTACCCAGCTGTACAGCTGCCAGCTGTTGTTCCCTTACAGCCACTCAGTTGTTATTCCTTCAGTAGTGCCTGACTGTAGCAACCTCACTGCTGTCCAGCTGGAATCTAAGCCAATCCACTTCAAAGACATTTTCTAATCTGATTGTTGCCTGCTCTATATTTTGGAATCCCTGAGATCACAATTTCCTTGGGAGGAAATGTAATATTAGCAAAGGAGAGGCAACCTTAAAATTAATTAATTTACATCAAGTAGTATGAAATTTCCCTCCTGATCCAAGCGTGAAAACACAAAGTTCATGCATGCCAATGAAATTTGGTTGAAAAATCTGCAAATGGAATCTCAGGTGATAATGGCTGCATTCACAACATTTAGAAATGTGAATGACAGGAGTTAGGAATAGTGAACACAAGGAATGGAGAAACACGACCACTGCAGAGTGCTCAAAAGACTGAATACGTGGTGCACCACCTGAGTCAGAGACCAGGTAAATCTTTGGCTGGCAATCTAACTGTGCTGAGCTATATTTGCACACCCCAGTCAATTCTGTCTATCGGACAGAATCTTCAAGACCAATGACTACAAGTGGTGGAGCAGGAGTGGGAGGATTTCTTCCTACACCGGGGCGGGATTCCATCAGACTCAAGACTGGTACATTAAGATAGAATGTTCCAGCCCCAAACTGAATTTGTGGTGCCCACACAGCAGGTGAAGATGGGATCAGCGCATCCAAGCAGGAAAGGGAGTTCCACTAAGGGAGTTCAGGGTCCAGGCTAGGAACAGGGACTTCATGGAAGTTTTGGCAGTTAGATCTTAAGAGCTCAATGCCATCTCCACGGGGGCTATGTTTCACTTTTTTGAGAAAGGCAGGTATTGTAGCTATAATGGCCCTACATACAACCCCAGCACACATGGTAGTTCTCCAGTGCTGAGCTTCTGGCATTTTGCAGGGTTAGCACTGAAAGACATGACTTCAGAACCACCACTGGGACCCTGGCCAGAGTATCTTTGGGGCCTGTTTGTATTGTGCAATGTTTAAGTAATGGTAGGCTGCTTCCTGGTTTTGGTACTCCCTGTGCAGTGCTCCATGAGGCAGGAAAATGCATGGGTGCTTCCCATGGGCAGAGAGTATGTTGCTGAACTCCCAGCAGGCTCTCATGGAAAGTCTGTGCCTGGAAAGCTATCAACATATTATTAACCCATTTAACATAATCAGCTGGGTTTAACTGAGCACATGCAAATGAAGTGATCATTTTAGCTGCAGTATATAAACGCAAGGAGGATAAAGGTACAGAGTATAGAGCAAGAGGATTATTGTAAAACCACATAAAACACAAGTTAGACCTCAAACAGTCTATTGCATACAGGAAGGATGTAATCACAGTAGCAGGGCAACAGAGGAGATGTACAAGAATGTCGCTAGGAATGGACAACTTCAATTATAAGGAAAGACTAGACTGGGCTTATTCTGAAACTGAGAAGGCTGGGGTTTGATGTAATTATAAGTTGTATAAAATTATGAGGGACATAAACAACCCATCTCCATTAGCAGAGAGGTCAATGATCAGGGGTATGGATTTAAAGTAATTCTTACATAGACTAGAGAGGGAGTTAAGGCAAAGTTCTTTCACACACAAGGTGGCGGGGATTTGGAACTCACTGCTTAGGATGGTGGTAGAAGTGAAAAGTTCTTTGCATTTAAAAATACCTGGATATAAAATTGAGGTATTCCAGGAGCTGGAAAACGGGATTAGGCCAGAGAGCTTGTTTTCAGCCAAAACAGATATCATGAGCCAAAAGGCATCCTCCTGTGCCTTGTATTTTCAATTCTCTATTTAACTGGACTAGCCACCCAGCAGAAAATGAGTTCAAATCCCACCGTAGCAATTGGAAAGTTTGAATTCAAACAGAATAAAAAGCTGCACCTGTAAATGTGACCATGAATTTATGGAATTGTCATTAAAAACTCAATGAAAGTTTACTAATGGGAAGGAATACTTCAGGGAAAGAAACCTGTCATTCTTGCCCAGTCTGAGCCGATACATCATGTCACTTCAGTCCCCACATCAACGTGATTACATCTTAATGGCCCTCTGAAGTTAGTTGTCAGGGCAACAACTCCTGAATGAATTAATTAATAACCAAATTGCAAACTTCAAGCACTTTTTCAATTGACTGCTAGTAGGTGGGCGAATCGTAGAATCTCCACTGTGTGGAAGCAGGTCATTCAGCCCATCAAGTCCACAACGCATCTCAACAGATCCGACCCCCCTACCCTATCCCTGTAATCCTGCACATCCCCTGGACTCTAATGGCAATTTAGCATGGCCAATCCACCCAACCTGCACATCTTTGGACTGTGGGAGGCAACCAGAGCACCCACAGGAAACCCACGCAGACACGGGAAGAGTGTGCAAACTCCACACACACAGCTGCCTGAGTCTGGGATTGAACCCGGGTCGCTGGCGCTGTGAGGCAGCAGTGCTAACCACTGAGCCACCGTGCTGTGAAAAGCTCTGGGTGGGATTTATTCAGCAGTTTAATGGGCCATAGTATTAAACATAGTGACATTAGTATACAGCAGCTGAATGTCGAGTTTTAATCAGATTAAATTTCATTATCAATTTCCTGCACTATCAACATGGAAGGTGCTGAAAACTGATGAATGTTCGAGCAAGTGTAAACAACTGTCAGATGGAGCCTTTGGTTTTATATAACAAAGCCCTGTGCCTTACAGAGTAAATGGATTGCCAACAAACATTGTGCTGTGCAACTCTGGTTAGGATTGATATCTTGGATGTGTATCAAACTCTATTTTAAATGCTTGTTAAGGAATGAACAAGCTAGAACATTTGCAGACAACAAAGTTCCATACTAACCTATTTGCACCTTCACCATTCACTACCACCCCCAACATAAATCAGTGATTGAAAGTTGAAGTAGTATTCATTCCAACTAAGAATCAGGTTATTTTTTGACTGTAGCAAAATGTTCATCTCATGGGTAAGTTTTTCGTGTGCCCAACAAGTGAACATCAGGTTTGGGGTGTCCATAATCCTTCTGCAACAGACCTTTCATTACGAGCCTTCTCTCCTTTAGATCAGCAATCCTTCATCTGAAGTTAGGTTCAAGAAACTCGGTGCTTCTGAGGAACACAACAAGAGTTGGATCAAAAGTATGACGGCAGGATAGGATTCTAAGGAGGAGAACAGTTTGCTCATCTAGGGAGCTCAAAATAAAAGAAAGATGTATCATTAGTTTTAACTGCTGGGACTTTAAGAAGTCAGATAAGATGCACAATGATGGGTTCGCTGCATGAATTAATTCAGTGTGACTGGTCAACAGCAGATCTTTCAGACATGTGGGACTAAACTTTTGGCTACCCTCTGAGATAATACCATTAACCTCCAGTAAAAAGGGAAATGATTGTCCCAGATGCGAGTCCTGTCAATCTTTGTGGGACGTACTCATGTGATCAAAATGTTTTAAGGACACGTTGTTCTTCATCATCTAACCTGGTGTTTGGTGAATTTAAAAAGTTGAACTGTGTAGGGGGAGGATGCCAGAACACAGATATAGGCCAGAAGTGAAGAAACCTCAACACCTTTTGTTGTGTTGTCATTGTTCAGAATTCAATGTGTCAGCCTTCAAAAGTAATCAATGCAGTGGTTCTCAAGCCATGGTTGATACCACCAAGAAGAAAACAATTTGCAAGGGGTAAGGGAATTGAGTTTTATATTAAAAGAAAGATAGATCTCTTGCACTTGGTTCTTTGGAAAAATGAACATAGGCAAAGAATGTCTTGATATTATGGGTATTAAGTTGTGCCTCTGGAAACTGTGGTGGCAGTATTAGGGTTGTTGAAAGGTTATGGGGGCTATTGTCTAAGAATGTTCCAGTGTGCCTCAGACTGCTGAAGGTTTATCCAAATCCTATCCATCATCAGAATGAGTAGAAGTTGGATTCACAATTAAGTCTTTTGATTGTTTTGGAGATTTGCTGGATCTTGACCTCGGCAGTGTAGATGAACCTGAGGTAGTTTTGTATCCTGAGTTGGTTCCTGGCACTGACGGCGTCAGGTCTTTTTTCTTTTCTGAAAATTCGAGCTTTGCCTACTTGGCTCCTCGGCGAACTCTCGCAGGGCGCTTTCATAAGTTTCTGGAAGCAGCTTTTCCAAGTGCTCCCCCGTCTCTTCCAAGAGTAGGGCCGTGCTGTGCTCTCCTCCCACTTCTTGTGGTGTAGTGGGTGAGGGGGATGACGTCAAGGGCCCTGTTGTCGGTTTGCTTTCCTGTCTTCCCTGAGAACTGGCAGATTGTTGTTGCTGGGCAGCTTTGATTGTGCAGTTGGCCACCATGTGGCCGATGCTTTGGCAATAATGGCACTTCTTAGGTTGGGGGGCTAGTTTACATTCCTTGGCGTGATGATCTAAACCACCACAGTTATAACATCTAAAAGGAAAGCATAAAAAAAAGAAACACAAGGATTAAAAGGATCAGACAAAATTTCCATTCAGTTAGAGGGGTTTTCCAACACAATTTGCCCAAAATTACCCAAACGATCACAGAGCCCAAAGTGAGTTTCCAAGATCTAGTTTAAAAACATATTGTGCTCAAAGCCATCAGTGGCCACAGATTTGACCATGGCCTGACTCAATGTGGAGGTTTAGTGAATCACATGCCTGAAGACCTTCAGCAGATTTGACATTGCACTGGCTCATCTGAACTGATTTAAAAGCTTTTCAGTATGCTTTTTTTAGAAAAAGACTTACAATAAACTGTAGCTCAAAGTCATGGTAAATGCTCAGTAGCTATTTAAAACCACTTTTAGTTATCAAAATCAGATTACTCAGGCGGTGGATGGGCATTGTGATTAAAATGCTTATGCATTTGTGATAAATTCATCAGCCGTATTAATTAAACTAACATCACATAACGATATAAAGGAATATATTTTTAAAATAATTTTGTTTACATTCTCAGTTACACAATTGCAGTGGTGCATTGAAGCTTTTATCATTAGGTCTATGAAAATGAATGAGTGGATTCACGAACAAATGTATTTTGGGGATCTTGTAGATTAACATCAATAGAGGGCAGTCAGTAACTCAGTGTAACAAATTATCCGAAACAAGCACCTCTAACAGCATGACACTTCCTCAGTATTGACCTTCTCTCTGTACTGCTGTTTCTTAACATAATGCAATACTCCCTCAAATCTGACCCTCCAGTCGTACAGCTATCCCTCAGTATCACCTTTCAGACAGCACAGTGCTCCCTTAGAACTGCTGTTCCAACTCTACAGCATTCATTCAATATTTCCCCTCCAACACTCCCTCAATATCATCTATCGAATGGTCCAGTGCCACCCCCCCTGCATATACTGTTCCTCCAGCAGTACTACACTCCTTCAGTACAGCCTTCCCTCAGTACTTGCTCTCCAACAGCACAGTAGTCAATAAAAGAACTCCAATAATAATGAATCAGCAACAGTGCTGGTCCTTCATTGCAAATTCTGATTTTAAAAAAATGTAACACGAACACCTTCAAAATGACCAAGAAGACAAGCTAATTAAAAAAAAAATAGGTTCATTAAAGAGCATGGTGCACAAAGATCCCCACTATTATTTAACGGACATTAACAGTATGTGACAACATCCCACCATTAACAGTAAGGCCACCAAAGAGCCTGTTAACATTCTCCCACATCCCAACTCCAGATTTTATTTCCTTTTACTGCCAGTAGTCATGACTATTACTGGGACTCGACAGTAGCTGCTTTGTTTTCTGCACTTTTACAACTACTGTACAGATCCTCTACACACACAACAGGAGTATTGGAAGCAGCTCATCACACACATATCCATACTCACAATTACACTGATTCACCCATCAAGTAGGCACATTCTGCTCCTGTTGTACTTCCAGTGCAGTTGCATTCTTTCCAAATCTCTTCAAATATGCCCACACAGACACATGCAGATGTGTGTGGCTCAGTTGGTAGCACTCCAGGTTCTCAGTAAGAAGGTGCTAGGTTTAGGTTCTATTCCCGATGTTGTGCATAAACAGAAGGCTGACACTTCAGTGTACCATAGATGGGACATTGCACTGTAGGGTTACTGTCTTTTGGACGAGATGCTAAACAAAAGGGTATACATAAAAGGTCACACGGCACCATTTGACAGAAGAGTAGGCAAGTTAGCCCTGGTGGCGTGGCTGGTGAGTGAGACAAGAAGAGTATCAGGAGCAATGAGCAGGGTTCAGTGTTGTAGGGACTGCTGGGGCGAAAGCAGGACCATTGAGCCCAGTTAGTGGCCCAGGCTAGAAGCTGACTAGGGCCTGAAAGTCTGTTCCTCAATAAACATTGCAGACACCAGAAATACCTTACAGGTGAAGCAACAATTTACCTGCACTATAGTTGCTGCTCACAATGTGGTCGCTTCTGCATGGGATAACAAGGTGTAGAGCTGGATGAAGACAGCAGGCCAAGCAGCATCAGAGGAGTTGGAAGGCTGACGTTTCGGGCCTAAACCTTGTGTTTGCAGACAAACCCAGAATTTCCAGTTGCCTGCCACTTCAACACATCACTGTGCATCAACATCTGTCTCTGGCTTGCTGCAGCGCGCTAGTGAAGCTCAGTGCAAGCTGGAAGAACGGCATCTCATTTTCTGCTTGGAGCCCCTGCAGCCTTCATGGCTCAATATCAAGTTTAATAATTTGAGAGCCCAAGCATCTTCTTCCATCTCCCCCAAGTCCCCAAAATGCACCAGGCCCTATCACCACATTAGCTGCTTTCACGACAGCCAACCCATTTTCAATCATTTTCAGTCTCCGTTTGCAGCTCCTCTTTCTTCCAGGCTGAACATTATCCATTCCTTTGTCTGCCCAACTGCTGTTCACTCTTGTGGGCTCCATCCATCTCCACTTATTGTCACTGGACCCAAAACGTTAACTCTGCTTTCTCTCCACAGATGCTGCCAGACCTGCCGAGTTTCTCCAGCAATTTCTGTTCTTATTGCAAAAAAAATGATCTGTGGCTGCACTTCGTCTTTCAGTGGCTGTAAAGTACTTTAAGATGGCAATGAGATGTTCACTGCAGGATGCTATCAGCGGACTGCTCAAATTGACAAAAAAAATGGCAAGTGGAATTCAATGCGCCAAGGAGTGTGAGGTAATGTATTTAGGGAGACAAGGAAATACACAGATGGTAGGATTATGAAAGGTTTAACAGGGCATCAGTTGGAGGTTATGTACACAGAATGTTTATCTGAAGATAGCAGAACAGGTAGATAAAGTGGTCAAGATGGTACAAGAGACATTTTCCTTTACTGACTAAGGCCCAGAGTATAAGAGCAAAGGAAATTTTATTTTTAGTTTTCATCAACCTGAATGGGTCTGATGTATTTGGTGACACTTTTGTGCCTGCCGACCAGGCCAGCTGTTTGGCCAGCTCCCCAGCAGTGAGAGGTAGATGTAGCTTTGGGTCTTGCTCTAGTAAATGGGCTGCAAAGCCTCGACAGGAGTTTGGTGGGGCCGGTGGGTGGGGGGTGCGGTTTTGGTGGTTCTCTAACTTATATCTCAAATACATCAATAAAATCTGTAAAGGCTGTTAAAGTCATTAATTTCAGCTACAATAATATGTATGGTTCTGATGAACACCTTACAGGACTGATGTAATCACACTAGAGAGGATGTTGCCAGAAATGAAGAATTTTAGCCATGAGTAATGATTACATAGATCAGGTTTGCCTTCTTTGGAAGAGAGGAAGCTGAGGGAAGGTTTTGTGGTGTATTAAGTCATGGGAGGCCAAGACAGAGTGAATAGGAATAGCATATTTCCATTAGCAAAGTGGTCAATAATTGGCGACATCAATTTAAGGGAATTGGTGGAAGGATTGGCAAAGTGTTATGCAGGAAATGTTTCACCCAGAGAGGTGTGGGCATCTGGAAGTGACAGCCTGAAAAGCTGGCAGAGGCAAAACCTCTGAAAATGCAATTTAGAAACACTTGGATGTGCTCAGGAGGGGCCATAAACTACGAGGCTACAGAGCAAGAGCTGGAAGATGGATAGAACTGGTTAACTTTCTCTAGGCTGCACAGGCATTATGGGCTGAATGGCCTCCCATGCTGTGAATTTTCTATATCCCATACTTTCATAAATGCAGGTCTTTACTTTGGATCCACAGACAGTCATGTATTTACACAAATACACTTATTTAGAAAAATCACCCAACTCATACAAACACACTCTATATATATTATGAAAATACAGATGTTTGCTACGCATGTTCTTACACATGCAAATGAATGCAGTCACACAGAGACACTCACAGACATGTTAAACAGAGGGCATTGCTCAAGCGCCTAGATGTTACATCCCTAGAATGGGGCTTGAAACTCCTGAATAAGTTACCCACTGAGCCATTGATTAATTCTGGCCACATGTAATAAGAGATTGTGTTAAGTAAAATAGTTTGAAATGAATCTTAGCCATAATGCATTGCATTTTAGACAGAGAGCTGTGTCAGGTCTGGGAATGCACATTACTTCTTGAATCTGAATCGCAACAATGTCGTTGTTCACTTGGTGTGTTTTCTGTGGCTTACTGTTATTGAGGGAAAATGGTCTCGCATTATATTTGCATTAATCATAAAGGGACAGCAGTCCTGCCTAAACCATTAATGGCAGGCCCCGGGCTAGGAAGGAAGGAAGGGAGAGGAGGCCACAGTTTCTGCTCCGAGTCACTGCCTACTGCTACTCAGGATGGATGTGTGGATATGGGGTGCAGACAGGTTTGGACTTGGACTACAACACACTCAAATGGTCAGATTCCATCGCTACATTACCTGTCTGAGCTTGCACATGGACACCACAGGTAGAATCAGGAATATAGGAATGGGAGGAGGCGAGCCAGCTTCTAAAAGTCTGTTCTGCTGTTCTCTTAAGATTGTGAATGACCTGCACCTAAATGGGGGGATAATATAAAATATCCCATGGCATAACTTCAAAGAATAGCAGCTGAAGTCTATCTGATATCCTGGCCATTATTTATCCTTCCTGTCAAGTTATTTTGTTGGTATCATGGTTGTTTGGGGGAACTTTCCTGTGCCACAAATTAGAAACCTTGCTGCCTACAATCCAATAATAATGGCTACACTCTAAAAAGTACCTCACTGGTTGTAAAGCATTTGTGAAGTCCAGGAATGAAGTGCATGTACATAGTGCCTATTCTCTTTTTCTAGCACTAGGGATCAACTGTTTAAAAACAAGGTGTAGCCCGTTGAGAACAGAACTAAGGAAACTTTTTCCTCAGCAGTGTCGTGATGATTCAAAACTGTTTTCCTGAAAATGTGTTAGAAGAAGAGTCTTTAAGCACAAATAGATTGATTCTTGTTAAGTAAGAGGGTGTAAGATTATCTGGGGTTAAGTGGGAGTTAAGGTTACAAATCAGATCAGCCATGACCTTACAGACCAGCCTCAAGGGGTAGAATGGCCTGTTCGTGCTCCTGATTCCTGTTTTCTTCTAATTTCCACAATAACTTGCATGTGGGGTGACTCATTCTGGAGTTGCCTGGTTTGAGTGATTGAAGGTAATGGTCATAAGATGAAAGCAGGAGCTGAACACCGGCCAGCAGTTTATCTGGACTCGGAAAGTTGGAAGGGTCACATTCCAGTTCTTTGTGTCTGAAAGACAGGATCTCCCCTAATGCAAAAAAAAGTCAAGCAGAAAACAGAATGGCCACAGAGCAAGGAAGCAAATCAGTAAGGAAATGGCATTCCAGATTGGGCATCTGATTTTAACCGTCACCTCCTGACCCTTGTGAGCAACTAAATAAAATGATGCAGAATAAATTATTCATGATGCTCAAGAGGTAAATAAATACAATGAAAGCAGAGTCTCAATTAATCAATGTCATTGGTCTCAATCACCATGGAAATATTAAATGAAAATCAATCACACTGATAACAGGGGAATAAGGTCACAGGAGTTTCTGCAAAACTAACTGCAGACCCTCAGGGAGTTTACCATCCTCAACATGCACTAGCTCATTTTTTCTGATCCCTCAAGTTATTGTAAAATCTCTTGCTACTCCCATGCCCCTTACTCTATTTCTCACAGAGACAGGGAGGTGGTACCTATTCACAACTTTGTCTCCATAAGTCAACACTGAGCAACTAAGTTCATTTAGCACCTTTAAAAAGTAAAACACCACCAGGAGCAGAGGAGGCAGAGAGACTTAGGGAGGGAACTCCACAGTTTAGACCCTTGCCAACTGAAGGCATCGCTGCAAAAGGTGGAGCGATTAAATGGTGACTTTTCAAGAGGCAGAATTGGAGAAATGTAACAATCTCAGGATTACAGAAACGGAAAAACAAAGAACATACAGCACAGGAACTGGCCCTTCAGTCCTCCAAGCCTGCACCTTGCTTGCCCTTCAATACTAAAACTATCTTCACTTACAGGGCCTATATCCCTCTGCTCCTTTCCTATTCATGTATTCGCCCAGGTGCTTCTTAAATGCTGCTACTGTCTGCTTCCACCACCTCCTCTGGCAGCGTGTTCCAGGCACTCACCACCCTTTGTCTGAAAAACATGCCTTGCACATCTCTTTTAAACCCCACCTCCCCCCCGCACCTTGAACCTGTGTCCCCTAGTAATTGACCCCTCCACGCTGGGAAAAAGCCTCATACTTTCCACTCTATCCATGCCATTCACAATCTTATAAACTTCTATCGGGTCACACCCTCAACCTGCGTTCCAGTGAAAATAAACTCAGTCTATCCAACTCTTCTTCAGAGCTAAAGTCCCCCATACCAGGCGACATCCTAGTAAACCTTTTGTGTACTCTCTCCAAAGCATCCGCATCCTTCTGGTAGTGTGGTGACCAGAACTGTGTGCAATATTTCAAGTGTGGCCTAAACCTTCAAAGATAGAAATGAATGAAGCCATTGAGAATTTGCACATAGGGGATCTTTAAAATGGAGACATTTGCGGACCAGGTGAATAGACAAGTCAGCAAGCAGAGGGAATGGGTAATTGGATAGAGGCAGCAGGGCATTTTTTTTTAAATCAGGTTAAGTTTATGGAGGATTGGAGGAGAGGCAAAAGTGCTTTGGAATAGTCAAATTCAGAGATAAGAAATTCAAGGATGCAGATTTCAGTTAACCTGAGGCATGAGCAGAGTCAGGTGACATTACGGAGGTCTTCGTGGTGGCACTGGTGTGTGGTCGGAACTTTAACTTTGTATGTAAATATAACAAAACTGTTGTAAACTAGTCTTTACTCTCACTGCTTGGCATCATTAGAACTCCATAATGTTTAACCTTCTGGCCTGAATGAATGATTTTATTGTCACGTGTATTTTACAGTGAAAAATATAAAGTTAGTGCACCCTGTGTTAAATACAGCACACTACTCTCTCCAGCCTTTGAAATCTTGTGTTCAATAGGCTGCAGTCTTGAAATTGTGTTCCTGAAGCCCTGCCTGCCATTTCAGACAGGATACAAAAAGACTCTGAAGTTTTCTCCCACGTATGGGGCTGAGTGTCCTTCAGGCACCTTTGGATTTGTGGCATTGCCCTCCGTTAGAAATTGTGTACAAAGATTATTTTTCCTTCATGCTGCATCACACACCCAATTGCTCAGTCTTTCTCCCCGTGTACCATATTTTACTGTGTTAAATGTGTTAGCTAAATACAAGTTATTATTTTTCATTAGCTAGCTCTCCCTGGACGTGTGTTGTAATAGAGTCAGCTTGATAAGCATCACATCCACAAACATTCACAGCCTCCACCACCAGTTATTTAGCAACAGCAGCATGTAACATCTACAAGATGCACTGCAGAAATTCCCCAAAGACTCCTTAGACAACATTTTCGAAACCCACAACCACTACCATCTAGAAAAACAAGGGCAGCAGATACATCCCACCAAGTTCCCCACCAAGCCACTCACTGTCCTGATTTGGAAATATAAATCACCATTCCTTCAGTGTTACTGGGTGAAAATCCTGGAACACTATCCCTACGCCAACTGGACTGCAACAAATCAAGAAGGTAGCAGTTTCTCTGGACTCGGAAAGTTGAAAGTTCCACCTTAAGTGGAACCAGGGATGACGAATAAACGCTTGGCCCAGCCAACGATGCCCACATCCCATAAGCAATTTTTTTTTTATTTGTTCGAGGATTGAACGTCAGTCGGGACCAATTGCTGCCTAGAACCACCCTACCCTACCTCACCTGTCTCCCTTTGGCCTTCGTTTTTGCATGTTCTTCCCTTTAGGCCTCCTTTCACTCCCAATGCAGGAGGTGCCACCTGGACCCGTTACCCGTATCGACTCCAGACCTTTGGAAGATTTCTTAAACGTAAACTCCACTGGTTCTCCCTCTTTCAAACTGCGGAAGCCTTCCATGTGCAGCTTGCTCTGAAACAACAACATTTCCCAGAGAAAATGTAAAAAAAGTGCAAATATTTGGATTAAATCAAAAAGCATCAAATCTCCCAATGGTTTTAATTATTCTTAAAGTAATTCTCAAATTATCCTCGATTGAAAACAGTAAGCAATGTGGTAAAGACTGAAACACGTACTATCCCAACAGGATCCCATCTGCATTGAGAGCACTTGAGTTAACCCAAGCACTGAGCTTGGTCACCAGAATTCTTTGCAGTATGCCCAGAGCAACAACAGTTCAAAAAATTCACCTATCAATTCCTGGCGTGTACATTTTTAAGAAAATATTTGTTCATGAGATTTGGATATCACTGGGCAGGCCAGCATTTATTACCCATCCTTGGTTGTCCAGGGGGCAGTTAAGAGTCAACCACATCACTATGTAGACTAATCTACATAAAAATTCCCTGATGGACATTATTGAACTAGATGGGTATTTTTGAAGACTTAAAACAGTGGTTATTATGAGCAAGGTTCCTTGTAAACTTCATAGATGCACAGTCATGCATTGGAAAATGAAAACCTTTGTATGTCCCAAGATGCCCTCCCACACCCCAAACCCTATGGCCACGAAGCCCAGGCTTCCAGAACAACCAGTTGGCACTGAACCACCAGTTGGCACTCAGTAATCTCACAACAGCTTCCAGGCATTGGAGCCCACCTTCTGATCAAATACAGCTCCAGTACAGGGAAGCTTTGGGACATTTATCCCCCTTCCAGGAGCCAGAGGCCAGACCATAACCCAAAAGTTGGAGAGGGGAGTTTACAGCGACAAAGAGGATCACACAGCATAAAGGTCCAAGAAACAGGCAGCCATTCCTAAAGGACATAGCACAATTAACAACATTTTCCTTTCATATCAAGAAAACAAAGTTTAAAAGTAAGTTTAAAATATGTTCAAAAGAAAAGCTCCTTTTCAAACTCCTTAAAAATCCAGTGCACATTTCAAGAAGGGCTGGCTAACTTAGATCATGGAAGCTGTAATACCATATTCAACACACAAACAAAAAAGGTAAAAATTGATGAGATTTTCACTTATCCTAAAACTGACAACTTCTTATGCACTATTTGCAAACGTTAGAGAAAGGTTCAGCACTAGGAAGAGAGGGGTACGATTGGAAATTGGGCTAAAGTGGCGTTTGAGGTAAAAAGCACACATAGTCTTATAAAGAAAGAAAGATGGAATTTCATTTATGCTTATTGACAAAAAGCGTGTTTTTGTCTGTTTATACAAAAAGTCCAATCCCAATCTGATAAAAATTCTCATTGATAATGTCTTACTTGCAGTAAAGAACGTGTCAATATTTTCTGTACAAGATAATGTAGCAAAGTCCACTGCAATTACTGAGACCTGGCACAAGAATTACACCTTCAAATTTGTGGAGTGCATTAGCTTTGTCAAACAAAAACATTTCCTAGATAAATTACAGAAAATCGTCTTTCTGTTTGCTGATGGTAAATGAAAGTACAGGCATTTCGGTACAAAAAACGTTGACATTGTACATCAAGTTTCAACTAGAATCTGAATTGTTTACAAGACTGCCTTGGCAGGAATTTTGAAACTGACTGCTTGCAACAAGCAATTTTATATTAACAGTTACTTTGAATTACAGAATATGGCGATGTTTCCAGACAGAGCCTCTGCTATACTTGGAAAGGAAAATGAAATAGTAGCAATGTTACAATGTGACATTAGTTGGAACAGCACTGCGTTGCTCACAGAGAAGATCTTGAAATGCACGTTGCTTGAAAGCAGGTCTCAAATGGGCATGATGTTGAACCATTTCTACAATGTTCAGTAAGTCATTTGTGAAGAAAAGACAATTTGAAGAATTCGCCAAAATCACAGCGTGATGCAGGGTTACTTCAACCTCTGAATGAAGTGAGGTGTCTGTCAAGATATTTTGTAGTTTTGCATTAGGTCATTGACTGCAAAGTCTTGATGAAGTACTGCACAGAGCAACTGAATAAGCGCAGTGATCCAACAAACAAATATTGCCTGGTAATGCTCACAACGCCACAACATTGCACTGCATTAACAGTTCCAAATAATGTTCTAGGTGAACTGGCACTGTGCAAATTCTTTCAGAGAATCTGTTTGACAACAATTGAAGGTATGAAATTTGCAAAAGCCAAGATCAATAAACTGAAGATTCGGTATCTAGGTGAACATCTTTATTGGACTGGAGTGAAAAAGTTAAGGTGATTCTGACTGCTCTAGACAGTGACGTTGACACTGCCACAATCCTTCAATTCATGCAACTGCTGTGGGACCACTTGGACAGTGGATTTGCAGAATATTTACTAGACTGATATGCATTTGATCAGGTTGCTATTGCCACAATAATTTGGAAAATGCAGTGCTGTGCAACTTGTATTGAAATATTTCACTCTTATACCAAACAATGAAGAATGTGTGACAGCAAAAATGCGTGAACAATATTCCAATTTAAAATTTATGATTGTGGAAGGGTTCCATTCAGACATTGAGATTTGGTTGACTATACCCTAAAAGCAAACAGGGTTTAAGAAATGCCCATTCCTCTGGATATTTGTGTCAACATTTCAAGAAATAAGCACTGATAGTAAACATGGATTTAACTGAATGAACTCAATTAAATTTAAACCCAGAAATAAGATTTGAAATTGGTCATTTGGACAACTTGATGCAAATTAAGACATGCTTTACCTGATTGTATACTACATCCACTTGATATATTTCAATGATTAGGGAGAAAATAAAGGTAAGCATGAAAAACTGCCAAATGAGTGAAGAAATTACTAGAGCAACATTTGATCATGTATTATACTTAGTTCTCTGTGGCATCATCACTAGAACAGATCCACAGAGCTTCTGAGCAGAGTAAACAATTTTATTTTAGCAAAAAGAATACATTTATCTGTAAAATAATATGAGTGTAGGCTTTTATCTGTTAACAAACAAAGTGAAAAAATGCCAAACATCCACTCAATGGTTGCTCTGTTTTAAATATCTCACTCAGAGTTCTGCACAAGAACCAAAAAAAGTCAGAACATCTGTGAGTAGGCCTGTTTTTATTTAATTTCTGATTTTATCGAATTCTTATTTCACCATCTGTCACAGTGGGATTTGAACTCACATAGCCAGAATTTTAGTCCAGGGTTCTGGCTTGTGATCCAGTGACATTACCACTACACACCACCCTCCCATAAATCCAGGTACAAAAGTGTACACACTGAAGTATAAATGCTAAATCCACAGCACCAATGATGCAGTAAATTAGAAAATCACTATTTGCCAGACCCTGCAGACCATAAAATGCATTGTGATTTTCAATAGAAATGTCTGGGCACCATAAGATGTATGGCAATCTTAGACGACATTTCCACCCCACCCCTCCAAAGTACTTATATGGTCCAGCAAACGTGGTAACAAGAAGTCACACTTTATCCTCCACTGAGTGCAGAATTAAGGGCTTTTGAGGAGTACTGCCAATTCTGCTTAGACACCTCCCTTGATGTTCACCACAAGAGAGGGGATTAATCAATCAGTAACTAAGAAAAAGGGAGTTACCAATAATCAATAAGAGAAGAGTGGAATTGATGATTAATCGGTGAGACCAGACAGGGGATTAATGATCAGAGAAGAATGTTCGATAATCAGTGCAAGGGGGAGGGCATTAATGAATGAACAGTAAGAGCGGAGGAGGCGGGGGGGAGTGTCAAAGCAATAATCAGTGACAGAGGATAGTGGACTGAAACACTGTGATTAATGAGAGAATAAATAATCAGCGATAGAGGAAAGCGAGGTGTTTAATCAATAATTAGTGATAGAGGGTTAATTGATAATCAGTAAGAGAAGAGAGGCAATTGATCAATTGGCTGGAAAAGCAGAAAGGTAATTGACCGATAGTTAATGACAGAGCAGAAGGGATTGATCGATAAATGGAGGGGACAATGATCATAAGTCCATGAGGAGGGAAATCAATTATAAACAAGAAAGGATAGGTGATTGGTCAATAATGAGTGAGAGAGGTGATGATTGATGAATAATCAGAGGTACAAGAGATCAATGATTAATATTCAGTGAGGGAGCAGGAACTGGTTTGTTAATCAGTGACACAGAGGAAGGTTTTACCAATAATCAGTGAGAGAATGGAGATTAATCGATAATCTGGGATTTAGGATCTGCCATTGATCAACAGGGATAGGGGATCAATAATCAGTGAGAAAAAGAGGGGATTTAACAGAATGGAGTGGAGATTGATGAATACAGTGAGAGAGGAGAGAGAATTGATTAAAAAAAAAAGTGCCAGCACACAGGGATTGATCAATAATGGATTGATGAATAATCAGTGAGAGAATACAGGATCAATAATCAGATGATAGTGGATGGGACTGATGAATAATCAACGATGAAGGGAGAGGGGATTGATAAATAATCAGAGATATGAGAGAGAAGTGATCAATAATTGGTGAGAGAGGAGAGGAGAATGCTCAATAATGGATTGATAAATCAGAGAGAGGGGAGAGAGAATTGATCAATAAATCAGACAGAAAAAGGATTCATCAACAGTGAGAGAGGAGAAGGCAATCAACAGAGAGGAGACCAATAATCAGCACTGATCAGTAATCAGTGACAGATTGGCAACGATAAAATCAATGATGGCTTGATCAATAATCAGGAGTAGGGAAAGGTGATTAATCAATAATGGATTAATCAGTAAACAGAAAGAAAGGGCATTGATTAATAAAGTATTGATCAATAATCAATGAGAGGGGAGAGGGGAATTTTCAATAATCAGAGAGAGGAGACAGGGTTTGACCAATAATCAATGAGAAAGGAGAAGGGATTGTTCAAAAATCAGTTATAGAATGGAGGGGATTTATCAATAAAGGATTATGATCAATTAGTACTTTATTGATCAATTAGTGATTGGGAAAGAGTATAGATCATTATCAGTGTCAAGACAGGAAATTGATCACTAATCAGA